TAAATATAATATATATATATATACATATATATATATATATTCAAATATAGCATTTTTTTATATATAATTTGTAACATTATACATTTTTACTAAAAATTATTTATCTGATTTAATTAATTGTTGTAGCAATTTTGTTGGTTATTGTTAAGAGACTCTAGGAATTAAGGAATTCCTTAGGATTTTTTTGGAGTATATAGGATGGGTTTCTCTGGACAAAAGTTCAATTTAATTCTAAGAGAGGGTATATAAGGTTTCTTTTAAGAAAATTGAGTTTCATAAGTTCATTCTTAAGAATCTTAGAGATAAACTAGAAAGAAAGTCTCAAAAAATATGACATCCTTTATCCCACATGTCATAACACATAATATAATATAAACTGAATAACATCAATATAATAATAAACTCAAAATCCAAACAAGTAAAAGAATCACATTTTAACATAAATTAAACTTAGTGGAAATAACAAATTATAAGGGAAATTAAATCAATAACTCAATTTAAATAACATAAACCAATCCTAACTAATCATCAGTGTCACGTATCCTATCAAAGCAAAACTCAATGTTGAGGACTAAGCCTCATCACTAATATCCTTAACATCATGCAAATGATTACCTGCAAAAACCACAAGAAGACAACACAAAATAAAATAGAGTGAGAAACATCTCACCTTGACTCATGGTGTAAGAATGCAAACCAGCTAGTCAAACACAAACAATGCATATAATAAGATATAACATATGCAGTTACACATTATCATCATCCTTAATTCATTCACAACATAACAAACAATAATAAATATTATTATAATGTGTATGTAATGGACATGGACTACATGTTATCATACATGTGATGCTAGTAAAAACATCACACTTGTGCATTGTCTCTAGCAACACACTAGAGTGGTTTAGGAGTACATGTCGGGTCACACCCTCTATACACTCTCACTAGAAGGAATTATTACCAAGATTTGATCGAGATAGCTAAGCCACCTAAGATACATCACATGCGCACGAGAGTCAGATTGAGACTTCCAAATTGAGTTATTCCCAAAATTGGTTTCCAAGCTTTTACACAAGGGACCTTCCCTAACGATGTATTCTATATTATACCATTACAAAAACATTTTTATGCAGATGATGCATGGTAAATAGACTTTATGCATTACCTTTACATGATTCCAAAATCTCACATTTCTCATATTTCGTACTCATTATACACTTTCACATATTCATCAACAGAAATCAATTCATATCGAACTCAATATCACATTACATGAGTTACAATTATTAAATTAAACATAAGAATAATAGAAGAATAATAGGCAAAATGGTGCCTAATGACACACGTCTCGTGCTCGATGCAATACCTTTAGAGGACCATATTAGTCTATGTTTGCACCGACCTCAACATGACTAAGCCCACGCTTGGTGAGAACACCATTGAGTGCTCTCTATAATGTCGACACCCAATATGATTCAGCTCACGCCTGGCAGAAGCATCACAAGGAACCGTTATAGCTTTTACACTTGACAACGGTCATCTCATGCTCGACATGAGAAATCCTAAGAGCAAACTTTGCTCCCAAATTTAATAATACCCAATGCGTTCCAAGTAGTTTTCGGCGAAATATCAAAAAAACACGCGTAGTAGAAAATAAATAATTTATGAATCACACATCAATTCATCAAACATGTTCTATAACAACCAATCAACATTCAATATCACCTAATTTACACATACAACTAATACCTTTTTTTAAAACCACATCAAGTTCCCTTAGGGTTTCCTATGGGAACCCACAGGGATCTCAGATCCCAAAACATAAAATTAAGCATACATTCAAATTATTCATGCCATTGATTATAAGTGAGAAGAATAAGGAGTAAAACAAAAGTATTAGGGGAAACCCCTCATACATTGACATACAACATACATAGGATTGGGAGTCAATCTCATTACTAGGCATACAAATCCACATCTAGAGCGAGGTTTCTCACTCTCCCTTTACCTGGATAAGCTCTAGATGATGGGTGCACGACTCCAAGGTGATTTCCTTCCTACTCTTGTTCTTCGAGCTCTAAAGCGCATAGGTAAAAATAGAAGCGTGAGAAGGGTTTGATTAGAAAACTTTGCTTTTAAAAATCTTAACACTACAAAAAAAAACTAAGATTTAACGGGGGTTATTTAGCTGAGGTTATCATAACCTCTAGAAATGTATGAAATTATCAAGGGCTTTATTAACCTTAGTTAAGTTCCAACAGTTTATAATGAAACCCCAAGTAAATCGATGAGTTTATTATAAACACCGTAAAATTTATATATTTTTTATTTAATTTAATCTATTCATTAAAAAAAATATGATTCACACCTTTTATTTTTAATTATTTTTCATTTCCCCCATTTTTTATCAATACAATCATTTTTTTCCTAACCTAGCCTTAAGCCTTGTTTAATTTTTCCCTCTCTGTGCGTGCCCTACAACTTTTCTATTCGAGTTGCACAATCCCACCTTCAGGCCGCACAATGCTTCATTGTTCAAAGACCATTTTTTCAAAGAACGTCCCTTTTTTTCAAGGCCGGACAATCCCTCTGCTACTCAAAGCACGACCCTTTTTTCAGAGACCATTTCCTCCTCTTTCTCAAAGGGAAGGCCACATCGCCTAATCTATCTAGGTTTTCAACTTTTTCAGATTTAGGGTTATGAAATGGTTACATTTTATATATGATATAAACCTTATTTTCCAAGGCAAGTCCTTTTTCTCTCTATAATCTAAAATGATGAATTTCTTACCTCATAAGGGAGTGTGTCCTCACGTAGTTAATTGATTTTTCTTGTTTCTCTGTGTAGTTGCATTTATCTAGTTTTATGCTTTATTAAATCACATTGATTTTTGCAAAATTGTTTTTATCTATGTATTAAGTTGTGAATTCACAAGGAGTCATTAATAAAAATCATGGGAAGGTGTTTTTGATTTGTTCTTTTCTACCTGTCCTATTGAACTACTTCAAGTGTAAGCATTACAATTGTCGCTGCATCAAAATTGCCATCTGAAATCACAGGAAAGACTGTACATGGAGGAGGTACTTAATGCATTCCCTATTCTTTTATATGTTCTGTAAATCATATTTTATTTATTGAATTAATTATGACTGTTATTGGGAAGTGCATCTGGCTTAGAAAATTAGAGTTCATTTGGTTGGTTAAGATTTTTGTTGGCTTTCATTGAGTTATACCAAGGTAATTTTTTTGTCTGTTTCTGTTTCTGTTTGCAGTTTTAATATTTTTCGCCCCACAGAAGTACGATCATTTTTCTTCTCTCTATGTACAATCATCAACACAATTTACAACTAGGATAAAATATTTTTTAAGAAATGAAATTGTGTGATTGTTTATCAGAATTTGCATGTATAGTTTTTGCTCAGCCACCTCAAACATTCTTGGTCCTCATTGTGTTTTTTTTTTAATAAGCTTGGTGAGAAGAGAAAATGTATATATTTATGGTTACATTTTATATATGATATAAACCTTATTTTCCGAGGCAAGTCCTTTTTCTCTCTGTAATCTAAAATGCTGAGTCGCTTACCTCATAAGGGAGTGTGGCCTAAAGTAGTTAATTGATTTTTCGTGCTTCTGTATGTAATTGCATTTATCTAGTTTCCTGCTTTGTTAAATACATTGATTTTTGCAATTTATATTATTTCTATCTATGTATTAAGTTGTGAATTCACAAGGAGTCAATAATAAAAATCATGGGAAGGTGTTTTTGATTTGTTCTTTTTTGCCTGTCCTATAGAACTACTTCAAGTGTTAGCATTACAATTGTCGCTGCACCAAAATTTCCATGTGAAATCACAGGAAAGACTATACGTGAAGGAGGTACTTGATGCATTCCTTATTCTTTTATATCTTCTGTAAATCATATTTTATTTATTGAGTTAATTATGACTGTTATTGGGAAGTGCATCTGGCTTAGAAAATTAGAGTTCATTTGGTTGGTTAAGATTTGTGTTGGCTTTCATTGAGTTATACCAAGGTAATGTTTTTGTTCGTTTATGTTTCTGTTTGCAGTTTTAATATTTTTTTCCCCACAAAAGCACAATCATTTTTTCTTCTCTCTATGTACAGTCATCAACACAATTTACAACTAGGATAAAATATTTTTTAAGAAATGAAATTGTGTGATTGTTTATTAGAATTTGCATGCATAGTTTTTGCTCAGCCACCTATAAAATTCTTGGTCCTCGTTGTGTTTTTTTTTAAGCTTGGTGAGAAGAGAGACCAAGGCCTTAAAACACAAAATAGTGAATTATTTGGTACATTTGGCACGATGAGTTATGCTAGTAGTAGTGACAATTAAATGCAGTTTGGTGGTGTGCCTTATTATGGAAAATTATTGGACATAATTGAGATAAACTATCAAGTTCGATTTTCAGTTACTTTGTTCAAATGTATGTGAGCTAATACAACTACTTCTAGAGGGATTGTGAAAGATGAACTAGGATTTACATTAGTAAGTTTTGCACATTTAATACACATCGGTGATGATGAAGACGATGAGCCATACATTCAGGTTTCAGAAGCTCAAATTGTTTACTATGTAGAGGATGAGTTAGATAAAAATTGGAGTGTACTTGTACATGTAAAGCCACGGGACTTATATGACATGGGTGGAGAAGATGGAGATACTTTTCATGAATGTGAGCCTTTTGAGCAACAAAATTTGGAAATATTATTTCCAGATGGGGAAGGGAATATTCCACTAACAAGGTCAAATTTTAATTATTACTGTATATACTAATTGTATTTTCATATCATCCTTACCTTGTGTTATATATACCATTATCAATTAATTTGTTAATTTGACTTGTACTAATGTTATTGATTTCAGGATACCTGAAGATGAAGGAAATTCCTAACAAGAAGACTAGCGGAGCACATACGAACAAAGGTGGCTCTTTTGGCCATGTTTCAGCCACTCCCCACAATAGAAGTACTCAACCTTCATCTTCACATCATCCATCTCATCCTAGTATGTATTAAAAATACAATGTCTCTTTACTAATATTTAAAATTACACTTGAAGACAACACCTTTTCTAATGAATATTATATGTTTCATGTTAGGAACCTTGAAGATGAAATTTGCAATCTCAACAAAGTCTAACTCATCACCTCAACAACCTTGTACTCAAGCTCCACCTCCACCCCCTCTAGCATGTCAACCTAGTAAGATGTTTCCACTTTCATGTCAATTTAGACTTATTTTACTTGCATTAATTATTTTGACTTGCTTCACTTATATTGATCTAATTGATTTCCAGCACCTCAAGTGCATACTCATCCTTCACAACCTAATAATCAACCTCTACCTCGACTTGCACTTCAGTCTAATACAATGTCTCCTCCAGCTGAACCAAGTAAGATGCATCAACTTTCATTTCAATTTGGAACTCATACATCAATTGCATTAATTTTATGGACTATATTTCTTATTTCATTTGTATTATTCTAATTGTTTTCCAGGATCTTTGAAGAAGAGGACATTTTCCTCTAGTAATGGTGACTCTGCACCTCAAATAAATATTCAACCTCCCCTTGCATCTCATTTTAATTCTCAACCTGCACATGATTTTCATTATGAATCTACACCTGTAGCTACATTTGAGTTACAATATGATAGTGAAAAGGAAGTAAATGAGGAAATTGGCATGCAAGCAAAGCAATCAAAGGTTGCATCACATAGGAGATCATGGCTTGTTGATGTGATAAGTAAGCTTTAATTATTATTATTTAAATTACATATATCAGAAAAATTGTTCCTTATGCAAGAGATCAAGTCTTGTTGAATTCATAGGTTAGATTTAATTTGCTAGTATATAATTAAATTAAATTCTTGTTTCTCATGTTTATGTGATACTTTAACAAATGATCAAGGCAATAAAAGTACAAAACATTTGACAGTCAATGATGTTTGGTTTTTACCTCCTAATGAAAAGATTATTGTGCATTGGAATAGTGAGGGCCAACCGATTGACAATGTTAGAGCATTGTTGAATAGGTTCTTAGGTCAAATTGCTAGAAATGTTAATGTATTTCCTATTTGCTATAAAGTTGGAGAAAGATTCCAAAAGATTATAAAGAAGATGTTCTTAAAAACACCATTGAATTAAGTGTTGTATACATTTCATTTATTTGTAATTTCAATTATAATCAATTAATTGTTGACTTTAATTATTTAATAATTTGAAGGCTAAGTTTGAAGTTCACTCTCAAGCTCATGTACAATATGTCTTCAAATCACTTAACACAAAATGGAGTGACTATAGGCAAAAATTATGGAATCAAAGGAATGATGGAACACTTAAAAACACATGTTATTTAACGGGGGTTATAAACATACATTACTTAATGGAGGTTACGTAACCCTAGTTAATTACTAAGGGTTAAAAATCGCAATTACATAGCTGAGGTTAGAAACCCTTGTTAATTATTGGGGTTTAGAAACCATAACTACATGGTCAGGGTTAGAAACCTTTGTTAATTACTGGGGGTTAAAAATCTCAACTACTTAGTTGGGGTTTAAAACTGCCAAAAAATTTGTAATTTCCAGGGGTTGCTAAAAACCCCGCTAATACGTTCCCTACGGATGATTTACCGGAGGTTTGTACAACTCCTGGAAATGCATTTAACGGGGGTTATAACTCTAGTTAAATTCAAAATTAACTCCGGTTAAATCCTTTTTTTTTTGTAGTTGATCCTTTTAACTCTCTAGTTAAACATATTAATCATGATTATCTTGAAGTTCTCTTTCCTTATTAATAAAATATTATACTACCCTTTTAATAAAATATTATGAATTATACTAAAAAATATATTAATTAAAATAAATATTAAACAGCCCTTATTACTAAAAATAAAAATACTAAAATTATTAATAAAAACTTATATAATATTTTGTGAAAAATGGGGTGTTATAGAAAACTGAAGATTTCTTTTTCGTCTTCCCTTGTTGGTTCCTTCTTCTACTCCACCCTACAGTTGAATCTAGGGTGACCAAGTTGAAGATTCAAGCTTCCAAGCAAGAATCAATCTCGTTAGTGGTGGTATAGAGTTCTTAGAGCTTAGTCCTTCTTCTTTTTCTTCTCTAATTTTGGGAATTTTAGAGGTAAGAAAAGCTAGAACTTTGATTCTTATTGGATTGTTTGAGTTGCTTGTTGATTGATTTTCATCCAAATGTTGTTATGCTGGTTGAATTCGAATTGAATGATGATGGAGGTTTTAAGTTTTGTTGTTATGAAGTATGTTGAGGTGATCTTGGTGACTTATCCAAATGATGGTTGCATGTGTTGTTTCTTGCTGGAAATGAACTGTTAGTGATGCATATATGAAATTGGATGTATTGCATATTGGAGATTGAGTTTCAGACAAATTGGAGAAAAATCATGAATCTCTTATGTGTAAATTTCATCATCACGTTGGGCACGCCTTCATGACATTGGGCATGGCTCAAATCAGGGGTTCTCTATCTCACTTGCGTCAAGTTCAAGATTGGTGGTATCAAGTGTGAGAAGAGAGAAAAGCCTCTAACTTGATCACATTGAGCGTAGGTTAAAGAATGTCAGACATGAGGTGAAAGAAAATTCTCTAAGTTCGTGACGTTGGGCTCTACATTATGTGGCACCCAATATGACCAAGATAGAGTTCTCTTCCTAAGTGATGTTAGGCGCCAAAGCATGGAGTGATGTCGAACGTGAGGAGAGAGAATTTTTTTTGCTTAAAATGGGGTTGGGCATGGATTTAGTCATGCCAGGCGTGATTGACCCATGGGTTCTTTGACCTCATCCATGTTGGGTGCAGGTTGAGTAGCACCAAGCATGGATGAAATAGAGAGCTCCATGTATTAATAATGTCAAGCCCAAAGTGAATGGTGTCGAGCGTGAAGTTCCTTATACAAATATGTTGCTTGGTTGAGAAAAGGGTGAATATGTATAGGACTTGAAAAGGAGAATGATTTTACTGTTATCATTCATACGTATTACATTTTCCTAACACCTATTTGTAACAATCTAATCTTCCAAAATAAGGAAATAAGGAAAAATATTTTGAAAAATAAACTAGAAGATTCTACAGATATTTTCTCTAATTAGGAAGATTTTCCTCTAATTACAACACTCACCCTCAAGTTGGTAAATGAATATCAATCATTCCCAACTTGCCTACAAGATCTTGAAATCTACCCTGAGGGAGCCCTTTTGTAAAAATATCTGTTATCTGAAGTTCTGTAGGAACATGAGTTGTTATCACAAAGTCTCTATCTAGATTATCTTTGATGAAATGTCTATCAATCTCAATGTGTTTGGTCCTATCATGTTGTACTGGATTATGGGCAATACTCCTGGCAGACTTATTGTCACAGTATAGTTGCAAGGGGTTGTAAACCTTGACTTTGTCATCCAAAATGATTTTCATCCAGAGTCCTTCACACATTCCTTGAGCAAGGGCTCGAAATTCAACTTATGCACTAGAACGAGATACCCTATCTTGCTTTTTGCACTTCCACGTTACCAGACTATCTCCAAGAAACACACAATACCCAGAAGTAGATTTTCTGTCAGTAATAGAACCTGCATAGTCAGCATTAGTATATATTTTCATAGTCAATGTATCTTCCCTTTTGAACAATAGCCCCTTTTCCTGGACTTGACTTCAAGTACTAGAGAATTTTTTCAACTGCTTGCATGTGTCTCTCTCTGGGATCATGCATAAATTGGCTCACCACACTAACTGCATAAGTAATGTCTGGTCTTGTGTGTGATAGATAAATCAATTTTTCAACTAATCTCTGATATTGGGCCTTCTCTACAAGAGCATTTTCTTCACTTCCAATTCTGTGATTCTTCTATATAAGAACTGTTGAGGTTCTACATCCCAGCTTTCCTGTTTCTTTGAGGAGATCAAGTACATATTTCCTTTGGGAGATGAAAATTTCGTTCATGGAATAAGCAACCTCTATTCCAAGAAAATACTTAGTTTTCCTAGGTCTTTCATTTCAAATTGGGCTGCCAATTTTTCTTTTAATGCCAATTTTTTTGTTTTATCATCTCCTATAATAATCATATCATCCACATAGACAAGCAATAGAGTGAATTTACCTATAGAAGAGTTCTTTATGAATAGAGTATGATCTCCTTGGCTTTGTCTGTATCCCAAGGAAACCATTGCTTTTGTAAATCTTCCAAACCATGCTCTAGGGGGAATCTCCGTGTACACTTCCTCTTCCAGATTTCCATGAAGAAAGGCATTCTTCACATCCAACTGGTGTAAGTCCCAACCAAAATGAGCAGCCAAAGCGAGAACAACTCGAACTGTATTCATCTTTGCCACTAGGGCAAAGGTCTCCTCATAGTCAATCCCATAAGTTTGGGTATAGCCTTTTGCCACCAATCTAGCTTTATATCTTTCTATTGTCCCATCTGCCTTATGTTTCACTATGAATATCTATCTACATCCTACTGCCTTCTTGTCTCTTGGCTTATCAACAATCTCCCAAGTTGAATTTCTTTCTAATGCATTCATCTCTTCTTTCATGGCTTGAGTCCAATGTTCAAGTTTCATGGCCTCCTGGATTGAGGTAGGAATTTTTGTGACATCAATGGCAATAATAAAACTTTTGTGCTTATCAGAGAGATTGTTAGTGCAAACATATCGAGAAATAGGATATTTAGCGCAGGACCTTCTTTCCTTTCTTAATGCAATGGGTAAATCCTCAGTAATACTTACCTCCTCACTGTTATCTTTAGGGATCCTCACTTCTGGATTAGACATTCTTTCTTGCTCGAGAGTCGAAGTGGGTTATTTTCTTCTTTCATATTTTTTGCCAAAAATTTTGTCTTCTTCCTCTTCTTCTACTTCTTCCTCGTTATGGACCATGGTAGCTTCATTGCTCAGATCTTGGGCATCCTACAAAGACAAATATGGTAATGACAAGAAGGAGAGCTCCTCCACACTAAGTGTTTTCTCCCCCTGAAGTGGTGGACTGACATAAAAGGATTGTGTTTCATGAAAGGTGACATCAATGGTGATAAAGACGTGACGAATTTGAGGATGATAACATTTGTACCCTTTTTTATTATAAGGATACCCAATAAAGACACATTTAAGAGCTTTGGGATCTAATTTACTACAATTAGGATGATGAGAGTGAACAAAAATAGTACATCCAAAGACTTGACTAGGTAAACTCGATATTAGGGGGCAAGAGGGAACAAAAGACAATAGAGACTCTATAGGACTAATTCCATTTAAGATACGGGTGGGTAACCTGTTGATGAGATATGTGGCAGTTAACACAGTTTCTCCCCAGTAATTTTTTGGAACAGACATTTGAAAAAGAAGAGCTTTAGTTACTTCTAGAAGATGACGATTCTTTCTTTCTACAACCCCGTTTTGTTGAGGGGTGTTTACACATGTTAGTTCATGAACAATACCATTATGAGACAAAAAATTGAGAAATTCATGATTCACATATTCAGTAACATTATCAGACCTGAGTCTTTTGATATTTTTCCAAATTGATTTTGGACCAAACGGAAAAAATTAACAAAGATTTGGAAAACTTCTGATTTATTTTTCATAAGATATGTCCATGTGACACGGGTACAATCGTCAATAAAGGTAATGAACCATTTAGCTCCGGAAATAGATTCTACGACAGGTCCCCAAACATCATAGTGAATTAAATCAAATGGAGAAGTACTCTTTTTATTACTAATAGGATAGGATGCACGATGGTGTTTTGACAATTGAAAAATATCACAATTAAAAGACTCACCAGACTCCTTAGTAAACAAATGAGGAAATAAGGACTTAAGAAGGTTGAATGAAGGATGCCCAAGCCTTTTATGATGTAGCCATATTTGAGAATTTGCCCATGTCTTGGATGTAGCTTGTTGACTCATGATTTTTGCTGTGTTTTGGTGATTAGATTCCAACAGATACAACCACTCTACTCTTTGGCAGTTAAAATCGTCTTCCCCGTAGCAAGGTCCTGAAAAACACAATGAGTCGAGAAAAATGTTACTGAACAATTTAAATCTTTTGTGAGCTTTTGCACAGAGATAAGATTATTGGCTAACTGTGGAACATGTAAAACATCCTTTAATACAATAGATGATTCCAAAATTATATTCCCAGAGCCGCATATGGGTACACCTTGACCATTCGCAACTATAATAAGTTGTTCTCTATTCCTTTTAATATATGATTTGAAGATCATACGAAAAGGTGTCATATGATCAGTTTCTCCTAAATCAAGAATCCAAATACCTTGAGACACAGGACCCACAGTATGGAGAGAACTCTTACCTTTCATGGACAAAGTACATGGTCCAGAGGGCCTACTTATTGATTCAATCATTGCTTTCAAATGATCTAGTTCCTCTTTAAAAGCTTTCATCTCAAAAATCTAATGGTGGTAACTTAATGGATTGATTTGGCGACTCTGTCTATGGCAACAACGATGAGTGGGCTACACCGGAAAAGGAGCAAAAACTCAAAAAACTCATATCTACTAGAATCTGCGCCAAATGGGACGTCACCAACCCATGGAATGGACTCAGGAGGCTCTGGAGACTCTTTCTGTTACGACGGCAGCGAGTGGGTCTCGCCGGAGCTGGGCGTGTGAGCTACACGCGCCGGCGCCGGTGGCGGGGCGTGGAGGCGTATTTCTCAAAGCGAATTTTGGCGTTGTGTTCACCGGATTTGGGCGCACCTTTCTGCCCTATAAACGACCCCAAGGGCTAGGGGGGCAGCCGTAGTGGCCGGACAGCGGCGGTGGTGGCTACTATTGCAGCAGAAACGGAGCTCCCAAGATCGGGAACTCTGATACCAACTTGAAAAGGAGAATGATTTTATTATTATCATTCATACGTATTACATTTTCCTAACACCTATTTGTAACAATCTAATCTTCCAAAATAAGGAAATAAGGAAAAATATTCTGAAAAATAAACTAGAAGATTCTACAGATATTTTCTCTAATTAGGAAGATTTTCCTCTAATTACAACAATAGGTGAGTTAAATCTATTACATGTTGTATTTTGATATATGTTGTTAATTATTTATACATTGATATGAGATAATGTATATTAATGATTAAAATGTTATATGTTGTGGAACGGTGTTGGTTCTATATATATTGATTTAGGGTAATGTATATAGATGATTAATTGTTGAATCGTTGAGGCAATGATGCTAAGAGTTCTTAAGTTATTAGTGTATGGTGTGTTGATTGACTTAGGATTAGAGGAGAGAGTGCTGTCAAAAATTAGATATCCCATTATACAGATATTGGTCTAGTGCTCTACGAGCCCAATTTTTGAAAATCCTTTTTCAGTAATTGACTCTTAAAATAGATAGTTGAGTCTCCTCTAGTACTTAGTTAATGTGGTATGTGGGTTAGGTCAAGGTATATTGATTATAAGTGACCATAGTATAGGGTTAAGGTCAAGTTATATTGATTACAAATGACCAATATTGAACTGTATATGGACAAGGACAAGACATTCATATATAAAGTGAAGAACTAAGTAAGGTACAAGGTCGAAGGCTTAGTCCCTAACTGAGTATTAGAAAGACGTAGTATTTGGAGAGTAGTAGGCGTGCTAATTCCATAAAGGACTTAGTTGTACAAGTTAATGTCATGACAAGCTAACACCCAAGTTATTCTACCCTGACAAGAATACTACACTTCATAGTTTAAGTAGCAAAATCTGATAAATCATGTTGTTATGGATTCATATCTAAATTGGTTGTTAATCTAACAAGTGTAAAAAAATCATGTTGACTTGGTAGGGTCAAGCTACTTAAATTGTTCAACTTTGTTGTAGAAGATTTCTATAGGTGAATGTGTGACGATGCATATAGTTGAGGCATTATATATGTGATGTGGTGATTGTGGTGTTGTTCGTATGTTGTGTGGTATTGTTGTTGAATGGCATGATTATTGATGTATGTGGTTAAATTATTTACCTTTGTAAGGTTGTTGAATGCCATGTTGAGGTGTTATTGTTGTATTGCTATCTTGTAGGCCATGAGGTGCTATGTGGTATGGTTTACATTTTAGTGATTGGTAGTATAGTTGTCTTTACTCTTATACTTGTTGTATAATTGTTCTTTTGAATACTAGTTTACCTTTGTATATTTTTTAGTGATTGGATTGCAATAATCATATTTACATGGGAGCAGGACAAAGTTAGGCAAAAGGTATAATACATTTTGTGAGGTCATGGTGGTGAATGGCTTGTTGTTGTTTGTTGGGTTACTGTGATGCAACCATTTAGTTTAGTTGTTGCTTGACCAATAATTTAAGATTTTTATTTTTTAGTACTGGATTATTGTACATACTTATATACTTGTATATTATTGTTTTATTTCCTCTGTTGTTTTACACATACACATATAATATTGTACATATATCTAGATATTATATATATA